ATAGAAACCAATTTTACTTAGAGATAGAATGCTCACTCAGCAAGAAAGGAGTCCATGATCCGTCAACCTGGTACTTGGAGAAACAGAGAATTCTTCGTTCAAAACGACGTTGGGCGTTTTTGTAGTTAAGGGAGGAGCACGATTTATTTGTGAAGAGTGCTTCTTGATTCGAAGCGAGGTGATGTCCAGCAATGTGTATCAACACTACAGTTTATTGCACCTTGTAGATTCTCACAGTTTCAGAAAGCAAGACCAGCGAAAACTCCAATTTTGGTTGTCCTCCCGAGCCAAACTTCCCAACTTTTAGAGCGTCTGCTATGAACAACGTTTTGGGGACAACTGTCATTTTTTGAGAGCAACGAGAAATAGTTCGACAGAGTGACATGCACAAAACTCCAAGCAGTCGATCAAAGTGTAGTAATGGAAGGATTATATACGCTTTTCTAATTGACCGCTTGATGATGCTCCAAGTTCTATTCATAATATTCTGTTTGAAGTTTCTCTCCACTTTTTGTGATACCACAACCTTCACTCTGCACAACACTTTTCCGGCAACTACCTCAACATTGTATATTTTATTTTGAACGAAAAAATAAGAAGTTCCGTTAGCTAGATACTCACCTGGAGACGAAAGTTGCCATTTCCGTCTGTGTACATTTCGTCCAATGCGTCGTCCGGGTCCGGCCCTAAACATTAGGTGGTCTTCTCCATAGTGAAATAATCTAGTACGAGAACGTTTTCTCTGCTTCGCTTTTTGTTTTCTTTGCTTAGAAGATTGCTTCTGTCCAGTTTTTACTATCCATATTACTAATTATCCACGATCGCTTAGGTGTAGTCGTTTCCTTTGAAGATGAAGACTGAGACACGAAGTGGTAGCCATTGACATGAAAAAGAAAAAAAATTGACGGAAACACTATCAAGACGCGAGAAGCAGGCACTCGATCAACGGACGAGTACTAATGTCTGTGACCACTGATCTATGTACTGAACCCTGGTACCCTTCCCACATGCTTTAGTTCTTGAAAGTGTTGCCAGCTCTCTAATAGCGTGCATGAATCATTATTTGGGTACTTGTTTTCACTAGACCTAATCGTAAGAGCATTTTGACGGTATCTTTCCTTTTTCATCACCTGTGATGAAACCTGCACCACATATACCATATCTAAACGGGATAATCGCTTCACTTTTACTGCGGATTATTCTGTCAAGCATAGGTTGCAGATATAGGATAGAGATCGTAGCTGCTGACACTGGCAAGACCGGTGAGAACGACAGGCAGGCGAAGGTGTAGCTAGGCATGCATCCAATCCGTCGAGCCGACGACGATGTTGTTGATCGACCCCCGGGCTGACAATGGGAGCTGAGGGCTTGGAGATGCAAACGATCAGCTTGGCAACAAGAAGACGACTATAGACGGTACGAATTGAGCATGTAAGCAGTATAATTTTTAAGCCATCTCATGATTGCATCTATTCGAATGGTGGAAAAGCTGTCTCTTACCTTGTGAAAGTCTTTGACCACCTTCGGTAAGTGGGATAGCGATCGGAGCACGGCATCTTGCTCAGAATGAAGCTTCTTCTCGAGGAAGAGAGCTGTCATTTTTAGTCATTCGTTCGCACGAAATTAGTGCTACACGGTGGAGCCGAAAAAAGTGTCAGCCCAAGGCAGTGGTGACACGCTTTCGCATTCGCTTTTGTTGACTGCTCTTTGTTCAAAGCATTTATTGCTACTTTCATATACTACGGATGGACTAATCGCACAAGACACGGAGGCAATGCTCTATTCGAATGGTGAGAATAGCTGTTCTCTTACCGTTGTGAAAGTCTTTGACGGCACCATTTTTCGTAAGTGGGATAGCGATCGGAGCACGGCATCATGCTCAGAATGAATGAAGCTTCTTCTCGAGGAGGAGAGCTGTCATTTTTAGTCATTCGTTCGCACGAAATTAGTGCTACACGGTGGAGCCGAAAAAAGAGTCAGCCCAAGGCAGTGGTGACACGCTAAATCTCGCATTCGCCTTTTTTGGAAAAAAGTGTCTGCATAACTTGTTCAGAAATAGCATTTTATTGACTACTTGATATTGTATCTCAATAGTACTACGAATTGGACTAATCGTCACAACGCTCTGAGCAGTGACTAAAAAGGGTATAGGTAAAATTGCATGGGTATGGTGGTCGTGCACCGGAAAGAGTAGAGTAATACGGCACTGATGTCATAACTACATTAGCAGACCATCGGTCAATATGAGTTCCCTGCAGAATCCTAGGAAAGTAAAAAGAATCTTAAACTTAAAGAGGGGCGCGAGTATAAGAGTTATTTGCATGTTCAAGCCTGATCGAGCGAAGCTCGCAAACGCAGAAGCGGTTACACTTATAGGTATAAATACTGGCACTTGCCCGCTGTTTACACCATCATTGGAGTGGCGTTTTTGCGTGGCATGACCGCTCGCCCCCTGTGGCTCTGCAATGGCCCAACGCTCTACTGCGCCTCGTGATGCACGCGGGCACTTGTAGTGCGGTGCAAATGTCGCGAGTCCATTAGTAAATGATCCTACTTACTATAAAGCGCTTCGTCTGTCGTGTGTCGTGTGTCGTGTGTCGTGTGTCGTGTGTCGTGTGTCGTGTGTCGTGTGTCGTTCTGTATGTCTGTCACGAAATTCCCTAGCTCCTCGGGATCCACCTGGAGGGACCGGGTCAAGTGTGGGATGGGTGGGCAAGGGTCTCACGTAATACAAAACACACATCAGCTAAGCGGAGCCCCGCCCACAGAGGGCGTGGCGTGCGTCGAAATGAATTGTACCGAAGACCAAGATTTCGATTTCAGTGACAAAACGACCTCGAAACTGGGCCAAAAAGTGGGTAAGGTGTGCATTGGTAAGTCACATCGAATTAGGGAGACCCACCCCCGGTGGGCGGGGCGTTCTCTAAAAAGCAGTGCTTTATGAAAAATTTCATAACTCGGTTGGGAGAAAGCCTACAGAGCAGAAAACAATTTGGTGTAAGGGAGCAATGTCTAAGGTGTTTCCTGCATACATGACGGGCGGAGGCCCGCCCAGAATGGGCGGGGCGCGCTCTGAAGTGTACAGCATTTTCTACAAGCCCTCATAATTCGGGTCGGGGAAGTCTTAAAGAGCCGGAAAAAAGGTGGATAGAGGTGTATGGAGGAGTGGAGGCCAGCTGTCAATGGTGGGCGGGGCTTGACCAAAGTGGGCGGAGTTTGCGACGAAAATTCATAACTCGGCTCCAAGAAGTCCCGGAGGCCGGGAAAAAGGTGGATGGAGGTGGGTGGAGGAGTGGAGGCCAGCTGTCAATGGTGGGCGGGGCTTGACCAAAGTGGGCGGAGTTTGCGAAGAAATGCAACCTAATGTATGCTATACGAAGTTCGGCTCCAACAAGTCCCGGAGGCCGGGAGAAAGGGAGTAGAGGCCGGCAAAGGAAAGGAGGTCAACTGCTATTAGTGGGCGGAGCATGCACATAATTGGGCGGAGTTTGCCAAAAGTGTCGTAATTTGGTTCCAAGAGGTCCCAGAGACCGGTGAAAAAAGGGGTAGAGGTCGGCGAAAGGAAGGGGGCCAAATGCTATGGTGGGCGGCGGCACGCACCGGCGACCGAAGTAGGCGGAGTTTGCCACGAGATTTATTGTCCGGAAGCAGTCCGGAGACCGAGAAAAAGAGGATAATGGTTGACGAAGAAAAAAAGGTTAAAAGCCGTCGATGATGGAGCGGATTGAATTTAGCTGAGGATTCAGATATTCGTAGTGTATCAAGCCAAATATGAAAATTTTGTCGCACCATCAAAGTTCGCAGCAGATCTGTGTGCGCGCGCGCAATGCGTGCGGCGCCAACTGGTCTTTCTATATTGATCTAGTTTGATACAATATTTTTAATCCTTTTCAATTTTTTTCTTATCATCCTCAGCATGAGGGC